CAGAACCTATGAATTTTGGTGATTTCAATTTCAAGAACTCTTGTAGGGATACCTCCTTATTCCTGAAAGTCTGAGTCTGTGCAGGTGCTTGTGTCTATAAAGTAGCCTGAGGAGCTGAACTTCCACCCTGAAAATGCATCAAGGGTTCTAACACATTCAACAACCTTGCCATTATGTCTGTAGGTAAGGTAACAGTAGGTACAACAGTTGGCACCGGTGGTGGAGCGTCCTGAACTCCCTTTTCTTGCACATGATCTGGCATAGCAGTTTGGGGTTGATCCATGTTCACAACTTCAGGTTGAGGAGAGTCCTGTCTTCTAGTCTGATGAGTCCTAACTTGACCACCACCTCAGGTAGTACCACATCCAGCACCACGCCAGCAGATGAGGGTGTGCGTGTCCTAGCCATCCGCAAAAGAAATACTCTAAAGTCAATCTCAAGTTATCTCAACGCATGATCAAAGAATGAAAGAAGGGAAAACATTCCTAGATGTTCAGTAGCCTCATGATCATAAGTATGGGGGCCTACATACCCATGAACCAGACTCTAGTAAACATTGCTCCATGACTCAGGAATTAAAGCCTAAACTCTAATACCAACTTTTTCACGACCCAATTTAGGATCATGATCGGTACTTAGGAGCAAGTGCTCTCAAGAAAGCCTTATCGGTATTTTACATAAAAATGGATAGAGTTTCCCATATTTTTGGATTATCCAAACAAATTTTCCTATCTCAAAATCAACAACCAACCATTCAAATATCAAACCAACCAACAACTTATCAATTAAACAAAATAAGTCTCCACCATTAATAATCAACCCACTAACAACCAGAAATACTAATTTATCTCCAAATTTGATAAGAAAAATACAATACTCAACATAAGTCTATAATAACGAAAGAATACTTATAACACTAAATGAATGACTATGGAGTGACTCTAAGAGTTCAAAAAAAATATCATAATAATAAATAAAATCTCTGCCCACGCGAACAAGTGCGAGGCTCACCAAGAAATATCAACATGTGCGCTCTAATTAATGAAATCCTCGCCTGCGTCAACTGTTGTCTCTGGAAAAAAATAGCAGGGAGTGAGTCACTAGATTAGTGAGTTATAATAACACTTAACCACAATCGTTTTATTGGAGACAAGTCAAAAATATGCTAGTATAACAACATAAAATATCATAAGAATATCCTTTCTAAAAAGGTAAATATAATTAGACTTTTGATGTATTTCCTGTAACAAAAATCAATTTAACAAATCGATAATAAACTCGGTAAACACTGTCTCATAGCAAATCTCAATGTTTGAGATGTTTCCAAGAAAGGATCATGTAATATGTATCACTGTGTGGACCCCTTCGTAAAAGAAGTCAAATATAACTGTAGGTCCCTACTCGAGAGAAAATTATAACTGTATACTAGTTCTACCTTCCCACTAGCGAGGACTATAGCTGTAATCGGTAATCTGTAAATACAAGGTGCACCAGTTCTAACGAACCCACCATTAGCTACGGGATCCTTCAAATTCTGCTCACATTAATATTCTTTCTTGTAAACAGTCAATACTCATATGAAAGCATTTCAAAATAATAAAGGGCATATCATTTCTTATCAAATCATGTAATTTTATTTTGGTAACGGTAAAAATATCTAGTAACAATGAGAATATTTAAAACAATAATAATCATCTCAAATAACTAATTCTGTATCATATCTAGTAAAGGACTTGTCCCACATGCAATTTAAAAGCATCGGTAACACACTTATTTTCAAAATCATATATAAATAAAAACACAAACTGCGGAAGGGTTACTACTCACAGTACTCATGTCAAAATACCAAACTCGTCACCTCGAGCGATCTGTACGACTTTCTTCAATCAATCTATAATCACATCAATATTGATCTCATGTTAATTCTATGTTTAAACTAATTCATAGCTAATTTAGAATACCCAATCTCGGGGTTCATGTTTTACTCTCACTTTGTTGAATTATATTTACATATGCTATAAATAAATTTTTTTGAAACATGAATAATTCAACTAGTCTACGATTATCAATTTCAGTCTATTCATCTAATTTATTCCTTCAAAAATTCCATCTTATAATGCTTGCTCAAAAAAAATAATCTCACTGCCCATAAATGTTGCTTCTTTTTAATATATTTAAGTTTAATATTCAATGAAATTACATAAGCCAATGAATATGTACAAAGCTGTAAAAGAATTTCACCTTGGCTAATCACAATTCTTCTGAAGCGTGATGTTCTCTTTGTTTCGCAAGTCCCCCATTTCTTTCCTTAAGACTTGTTAATTATTGGTCCCTTTTCTTTCGAGGAGCATAGATTCCTTTACTGATTCTATGAGATTGCAAAGAATCTCTTGATTTCACTCAAATCCCTTTTCTCTGTTGTCTGTTGCATACCCTTTCCCCTTAACCCCTTTTTCTTCTTTTATTTTTGCCAGATTTTCATCTGGTGGGCTTCGGCCCTTTTATTCATCTCACTTACCTTTTTTTTTTAGTAATTTACTAAATGAACAATATGTCCTTGTTTTAAAATTATGGAATATTGCAGTAGATGTCGTAATTGCGATGTCATGTTGGCAATTGCGAATGCCGCAAATTCAAAGCACATGTCGCAAATGTGAACTGTACATCAGAAGCCTAGATGTCGCAAATGCGAATAGTCCCCCCTTCACAAATGCAAAGCTGACTCAAGTCACCCGTGATCGCAAATGCAATCACTATCTTCACAAAAGCGACCTATGACAGTTTGCAAAAGCAAACCCATTCCCAGGTCTTGCTCACAAATGCGAAATTTGTTCTCAAATTTGCGAGCCTGACCTCGCAAAGGCGAGACTGCATCAAAAACCAGAAGCTAACTCTACACCAGTAGTCCTTACACTATCTAAACTCATCTGAAATATGTCTGAAACTCACTCGAGCCCCTCAGGCTCCAAACCAAACACGCACACAAGTGTAATAATATCATACGAACTTGTCGTGCGATCAAAATATTAAAATAACATCTAAAACTACAAATCAAACATCAAAACGAATAAAACATCAAAGGAAAACTTAAGGACAACTAGAATCACAACTAAGCATCTAAATCATATCAAACCAACTCCAATTTGCAGCAAATTTTGCATACAAGTTTCAAATAGCAAAACGGACCTATTACAAGTCACAAAACTAAAACTTAAATCCATTAACCATAAATTCAACCTACAAAACCTAGAAAATTTCCAAACTTTCAAATTGCGAACTTTCGGCAAAACAAGTCAAATTGTAACGATCCGACTGATCGTTTTGAGTAATTACATTCAGTTTGGAAGTTTGAGGTCATGAGTAGCTTCATACAGTGTATTATAACATGCGTGCATCATCGGTTCGGGTTTTTGAAGAGTACAGAAAGGACTTTTAGGAGTGACTCTCATTTGAGAAGCTTGAGTTCGAAGAATTGACCAAGGTTGATTTTTGAATATTTGACCTCGAATTGAGGTTTAAATAGTTTTGGTACGTCCAGATAGTAATTTTGGACTTGGGCGTATGCTCGAAATTTCATTTGGATGTTTCTAAAAGGTTTCAACATCATTTGGCGAAAGCTAGCAATTTAAAGGTTTAAAATTTTCCTAGGTTTGACCATAGTTTTACTTTAAGGTTATTGGGTTCGAATTTTAGTTTCGGAACTTGGAATGGGTCTATTTTGTCATTTGGAACTTGTCTACAAAATTTGGCGCCATTTGGAGTTGATTTGATATGGTTCGGATGCTTGGTTGCGATTCTAGAAGTTCTTGAAGTTCATTGTGTTTTTATGTGTTTTGGCATACGATTCGTGATTCTAGAGGTTATTTCGATGTTTTGATCACGTGATCAAGTTCATGTTATATTTTTAGACTTGTGTGTGTGTGTTTATTTTGGAGCCTCGGGGGCTCGGGTGAGTTTTGAATTAGCTTCAGAGTTTTTTGTTAAATTTTTGTGTGTTGGTTCTAGTTTGATCGCATTTGCGATGTTTTGGTCACAAATGCGACTACCTCATTTGCAAACCAGCCTCGCATTTGCAAACCTAGGTTGTTGGGGAAGAGTTCGCTTTTATGAAGAACACCCTAGCATTTGCGAAGTTTTTCTGTTATCAAGTGTTCTGGCAATATATTTCATTAGATATTTGTGTAGTTCCCTACTTTTTCCCTACATTTCCCCTACTACTATCAGGGCTACACCAGTGATAGCGGTGACAACCCTTTTTGGTTTTCGAATCGTGGTATTTTCTGTGTTTTCAGGGAAATTCTCGAAGTTGTGGAGACAAGTTGGGCACACGAGCACTAGCAAAGGAAAGCAACCAGGATGAGCGTCCGTAACGGGCGGTGGGAAGCAGTGCGTGAGTGTACAACTACATCAAGTACAACAAATCAACACAGGTTTGGTTCTCGGGAGTTGGTACCTCCCATTCTACTGTTTCCCTTTTGGTGTTAGCTAAATTGATGTTACTTTGGTTCACAATAGTTCAATCATTCAACTAGTGTACTTGTAGTCACTTGTTTCCTTCTAGTTTGATTCGTTGTTCGTGCACTAATAAGTCTTCTTGAGATTTGTCATAGGTGTAGTGGCTGCAATCTAGGATGATAGATTAAGGGCATGTCCTCGGGTGGGGCAGAGTGTGGGGCCGGGGTCAGGGTGTGGGACGGGAGGTTGGGGAGGTAGAGGGGGCAAGGGAGCCTATAGGTTGAGAATTGGGTCATGGAACATAGGTTCGCTAACGAGTAAGTCTATAGAGTTGGCGAAGATACTTCAGAAGAGGAAGTTAATATAGCGTGTGTCGAGGAGACTAGGTGGTTGGATCAATGGCGAAAAACGTAGATGGGTATAAGTTATGGTACTCTGGAGTCCTGAAGGGTAAGAATGGAGTGGGTATCCTGGTAGATAACCATCTTAGAGAGTCGGTGGTAGAGGTCAGGCGGGTGAATGATAGACTAATGACTATTAAACTGATGGTGGGTGAGTGTACTTTAAATATCGTTAGCGCGTACACGCCGCAAGTAGGCTTGGATGAGGAGATTAAAAGGCATTTTAGGGAGGGATTGGATGATATCGTTCGTAGTATTCTGCCTTCGGAGAGGTTATTCATAGGAAGAGATTTCAATGGTCATATTGGGTCGTCTGCAGTTGGTTATACTGAGGTGCATAGCGGCTTTGGTGTCGGGGAGCGGAACGGAGGGGGCACTTCCCTGTTGGACTTTGCCAAGGCATTCGGTCTAGTGATTGCGAACTCAAGTTTTCCTAAGCGGGATGAGCATTTGGTTACTTACAAAAGTTCGGTGGCGAAGACTCAGATTGACTATCTCCTCCTCAGGAGATGCGACAGAAGGTTGTGCGAGGATTGCAAAGTTATCTCAGGTGAGACCCTACCAACGCAACATAGGCTTTTGCTGATGGACATTGGTATTAGGATAAGGAGGAAGAAGAGGTCAGTACGAGGATGTCCGAGGATTAGGTGGGGCACCTTGAATAAGGATAAAGCTTAGGAGTTGGAAGGAAGGTTATCGACAATGGGAGCTTGGAGAAGTAGTGGGGACGCAAACACTATGTGGTCGACGACGGCTGATTGTATAAGAAAGGTGGCGAGAGAGGTGTTAGGGATATCTTCGGGCCGCACTGGTAGCCACAAAGGAGACTGGTGGTGAAATGCAGGTGTCCAAGATAAAGTGGAAGCGAAGAAGGCGGCGTACCTGCGGTTCGTAGGGAGCTCTGGAGAGGAGGAGAAAAGAGCGAACAGTGAGAGATATAAGGTAGCTAGGAAGGAGAAGAAGATGGTAGTAATGGAGGCTAAGACGACAACTTTTACTCGTCTGTATAAGGAACTAGGGAACAAATGAGGGGAGAAGAAGTTATTCCGACTCGATAAGGTGAGAGAGAGGACGACTCGGGATCTGGGCCAAGTGAGGTGCATAAAAGATGATGACGGCAAAGTTTTGATGGGGGATGACCATATTAAGAGGAGATAGCAGACCTACTTTCATAAATTTTTAAATGAAGAAGGGGATCAGGATATTGTGCTAGGTGAATTGAGGAATGCCAACAACCCCCATGAATTAAGTTATTGTAGGGACATTGAGGTCGATGAGGTCATGGAGGCAATGCGTAAGATGAGGAGGGGCAGAGCTACCGGGCCAGACGAAATTCCGGTTGAACTTTGGAGGTGTGTGAATAGAGCAGGCTTGGAATGGCTTACTGGGTTGTTTAATGTTATATTCAAGACTAATAAGAAGCCTGAAGAGTGGAGGTGGAGTACAATGGTTCCGCTATATAAGAACAAAGGCGATGTTCAGAGCTGTAACAACTATAGGGGTATCAAATTACTGAGTCATACCATGAAAGTCTGGGAGAGAGTGGTAGAAATGAGAGTGCGAAGGACGGTGTCTATTTCATATAACCAGTTCGGGTTCATGTCGGGGCGATCTACCACAGAAGCTATCCACCTTATTAGGAGGATGATGGAACAATACAGGGATAAGAAGAAGGATCTCCACATGGTGTTTATCGATCTAGAGAAACCGTACGACAGGGTTCCTGGGGAGGTCCTATGGATATGCCTAGAGGTTAAAGGGGTCTCGATTGACTACATTAGGGTGATTAAAGACATTTATGATGGAGCTAAGACTCGGGTTAGGACAGTAAGAGGCGACTCCGACCATTTTTCGGTTGTTACAGGGTTGAACCATGGGTCTATGTTTAGCCCTTTCCTATTTGCCCTAGTGATGGATGCCATAACGCATCATATTCAAGAGGAGGTGCCATGGTGCATGATATTTGCTGATGACATAGTCCTAATTGACGAGACACGACGCGGAGTCAACGAGAGGCTAGAGGTTTGGAGACATGCCCTTGAGTCTAAAGGTTTCAGGTTGAGCAGGACGAAGACAGAATACCTCGAGTGCAAATTTGGGGCCGAGCCGACGGAAGCAGGAGTGGAAGTGAGGCTCGACTCTCAAGTTATCCCTAAGAGGGGTAGTTTCAAGTACCTTGGGTCAGTTATTTAGGAGACCGGGGAGATCGACGAGGATGTCACACATCGTATAAGGGTGGGGTGGATGAAGTGGAGGTTAGCAATGGGAGTTTTGTGTGACAAGAAAGTGCCACCGTTACTAAAAGGTAAGTTTTATAGAGCAGTGGTTAGGCCTGCTATGTTGTATGGGGCCGAGTGTTGGCCGGTTAAAAATTCACACATCCAGAAGATGAAAGTAGCAGAGATGAGGATGTTGAGGTGGATGTGCGGGCATACAAGGATGGACAAGATTAGGAATGATGATATTCAAGAGAAGGTGGGTGTGGCCCCCATGGAGGACAAGATGCGGGAAGCAAGACTCAGATGGTTCGGGCACATTCAGAGGAGGAGCACTGATGCACCAGTGAGGAGGTATGAGCGACTGGCTATGGTGGGCACAAGGAGAGGTAGAGGGAGACCTAAGAAGTATTGGGGAGAGGTGATCAGGCAGGACATGGCACGACTTAGGATTTCTGAGGACATGACCCTTGACATGGAATTGTGGAGGTCGAGCATTAAGGTTGTAGGTTAGAGGGTAGTTTGTGAATATTACTATAGCGCACTAGAGTGAGACTAGCCATTTAGGAGTTAGTCTTAGGATGCTACTGATCAGCTACTGATGCAAGGTTGTATCTGTTGGATATTAGTATACCTTACATCCTTTTCTCCATCCTTTTCGTATTTCCTATATTTCTTATATTGTTGTTATTTTTTTATTTTATGCTATGTATTTTATGTTATTTATTATGAGTCTATTGATAGTACTAATATATTGTCTCTTGTTTCTCTCTTGAGCCAAGGGTCTCCTGGAAATACCATCTCTGCCCCTCGGGGTAGGGATAAAGTCTGCGTACATATTACCCTCCCCAGACCCACTTGTGGGATTACACTGGGATGTTGTTGTTGTTGTTGTTCTGTTAGCATTTGTGAAGTATTTGGTTACAAATGCGACCTTAGAAAAAAACCTCATGTTTCGCTTTTGCGATAAAATGCTCGCTTTTGCGGGGTTCGCGATTGCGACATCTGCAACCTACATATAGTGGAGCATTCTGAATATTAGCTTCATTTTGATATATTTTGAACCCTAGCCTCGATGGAAGGCGATTTTGTGGAAGGATTTTCATTATAAATCATTGGGTAAGTACCTCTAATCAATTTTCAATTGTATTTTATGATTATACATTCGATTTAACATCAAATTCATGAGAATCTAAAAGAAAATTGTAAAATCTTTCAAAAGGTAAAATGATGATTTGAATGACGAATTGGTATCGGAATTTGATAATTTTGATATGGTTGAACTCGTATCAAAATGGGTGTTCGGTTTTTGTAAATTTTATCGGGTTCCAAGGTACGGGCCTAGGGGTTGACTTTTGTTGACTTCTTTTGTAAATTGTATAAGGATCATAGCTTTGTTAATTGAAATTGTTTTCTCTTGCATTGTTTGATGTATTTAAGTCATCTTTGGCTAGATTGAGACGAGTGGTGTTGAATTAGTAAAGGAAAAGCTAAATTGAGTATTGAGTTGGCCAAATTGAGGTAAGTATCTTGTCTAACTTTGTGTAGGGGAAACTACTCCATAGGAATTGAGTTAATTGTGCTATCTTGTTATGTGAAAGCCATGTGCGCAAGGTGACGAATGGGTACACTGTCTATATGTGGTATTGACCGGTTTAGATTATCTAGTCTCTTCACATGCCTTTGATTAAATTGTCATAACATGAGGTATCTCGTTGTTAGGCTACTCTTACATGCTCTATTTGACGTTGTTAGCACTTATTGTACCTCTTACTCGTTATTTGGCCCTTATAAGTCTTAGTTGAAGTTATTGCCTTCCTTATTTTCTTGTTACCTCTTAATTGTTGAGTTCTTCTATGACTCTGTGTATATCTGCTACATGTCCAAAGTGTTGTGATTGCATGCTTAGTTATCACGTGCCTTACATGTCTTGTCATTTTCGTAAAAATTGTTGTATTCCTTTGATTTTTACATGGTTCCTTTATTGTCGTGTACTCGTCCCCTTGATTGTAGATACTCTTGTAAATTGAGTTATTGAATTGTTGTCGTTGATTTAAATTATTGCATGGGGGATCGGGTTGCACACCGCAACAGGTGAAATAAGGGAGGATATTTATATTGTGATATTGTTATTGTACGGTAGGATCGGGTTGCACGCCGCAACAAGTGAAATAAGGGTGGACTGTTATGGTAAAATAAGGGTGAATTATGATATTAATATTATATGGTGGGATCGGGTTGCACACCGCAATATATCTTATTTATTGTTATGATATTGATATTGTACGGTAGGATCGGGTTGCACGCCGCAACAGGTGAAATAAGGGTGAATCGATATGGTGGAATAAGAGTGAATTATGATATTGATATTATATGGTGGGATCGGGTTGCGGGTCGCAACATATTTTGTGTTTTGTATTCCCCGTTGTATTGTATTGGCTTTGATTCTTTCATACGAGACTCTAAGAATTTGTATTTCTGGATTTTCACTATTTTTTTAGGATTGAGTTATTGTCACTGATTTATTACCTTGTCATCATTTCCTGAGTTCTCTTCCTGATACTATTATTTTGGTGAATTCATTTTTAAGATGAATTTACTACGCTGAGTCATTATCTCATACTCTGTTGAATTGTGATAACGTAACAGTTTTAAATAAAAGAATTAATAACATGCTTACCTTATGTGACTTTTAAGTTAAAAACTCGTTGTTTATCTCGGAACTTACCATTTCTAATATTTTTCATATTTTACTTTAATTGATTTCTCAACTTATGCTTTTTATTTTACTTAAAAATGAATTGTTATTATTTTTTAACTTAATAAATTCTATACTAAATTTAGTAGCTTATGTGATGTTATATTATTTGAAAATGTTATTTTCTTCACCCAAATAATTTCTAAAATAAACTCATTTTTTCCTCATTGAATTTCTTCTTGGTTCAGAAACTGTAATTTTACTTTATGATATAAAAATAAATCTCTTGAACATCCTAATTAGCATTTGACATGGATATTATGTATTGAGTAGTACGTGGGTTTTTTTGGGCGAAATGAGATGGAAAATGTGGGCACAAGGTGCCACGTGTGTTAAAGGTTTGCAGATTGTGATTTTTTATATGAGATTTTGAGAAGAGGGATTGTTGAAATTTGTGTATTAAAAATGATATGATTGGTTGAGTTGACATCGTTTTCCCTACTTGGACACATTTGTACTTCATCCGTACCCCGACTATGTTTTTGCTTAATTACTTGGTTATTTCTCGTTGCCATTCGTTTCCCCTTATTGTTACTACTGTTTGTAATCTAATTTCTGTCTACTATTGGCATTGCATTGATATTTCTTCCTTGTTAGCTTTATGTCATATCCTGCACAGGCTTATATGTTCGGTAGGTGTCTTGACCTGGCCTCGTCACTACTCTATTGAGGTTAGACTTGATACTTACTAGGTATTTGTACTCATGCTACGCTTCATCACATTTTTGTACAGAACCAGGTACTTCGGATCGAGTTGGTTTTGAGACTTATGCTTGGTGTGGCTGGAGACTTCAAGGCACATGTTGGGCATTCATAGGCTCCGAAGTCACCTTCTATTGTATTTATTTCCATTGTTTCCTTTTATTTCGGAATAGTGATGTATTCATTATGTATAATAACTCCTAGAAAGGTTTATGACTTGTACTACCGATTTTGGGATATTGTATCATGTTGAGACTATTGGTTTATTTAGAAACTTCTGGTTCATGTTTAATAGTTGTTAGTAGAACCTGTCATTATTTCGGTATGTGTTAGGCTTACCTAGTTTTAGAGAC